TGGGTATAGTGGCTCACGTCTGTAATCGCAACACTTTGGGAGGCCAAGACCAGCCTGGCCAACATGGCCAAACCCCTTCTCTACTAAAAATAAGAAAAAAAATTAGCCAGGTGTGATGACGCCTGTAATCCCAGCTACTAGGGAGGCTGAGGCAGGAGAACTGCTGGAACCCAGGAGGCAGAGGTTGCGGTGCGCCAAGATCGCACCGCGGCACTCTAGCCTCGGCGATAAGATCGAAACTCCTCTCAAAAAAAAAAATAAAAAATAAAAAAAAGGACAGGTGATAGAGAATATAGTTATGACAGAAACCTTTCTCACTGGCTAAGAGCAGGATGATACTAACTCTCCATAAGTAAAATCTCCTCAGAGGAAATGTGTTCCTGTTCTTAAGGAAATTGACATTCTAAGAAATAATCTGATTATGACCAGCTTCTATTCAAACACTTGATTATGGTAACCAGAAGGACTACTTAAATTGCATAATTTATACTGCAAACCTGTGTCATGTGCCTGAGAGGGAGGCATAGGAATAAAGAATTTGTTGATCCCCGGAATAAAAAACCGGGCATAAAGCATCCTAAAGATAAGTTATCTAACTGCATCCACATGAAATAACATCTAAAATTCAAGATTAGTGACAGAGACATAGTATGTATTCCTGTTTCCACATATAATGGAACAACTTTATAATCCATATTCAAGTAAAAGTGTCCTCCAAAAGTATTAAAAACTTATAAGACTTCCTATTAACAGATTCAGTACCAAACTATATTTCTATTATTTTAACAACAATACAAAGCTGTTTTATAGTCACAATGTCCTTAAATAGATGCTATCTTATAAACATTTCAAAAACCCATACAACTCAGATTCAACCAGTCCTCTGCCAAGAGGGTATCTGGGGCACTATTGCCTTAACAACACTAACCCCATTCTCAGGAGGCAGCTCTATTAACTACTCCTGCTACCACATTCCACAGAGAGGTATTAGCAGGGATATTGCTTTCCCTGAGTTCCTCTTCATCAGGTTGATGAGGCCTCAAGAGAAACAAAAAAAATCTCAACAGGAGAATAGGATTAACAGGGCTAAAAAACCCTATCACCTGTCTTTTCCGGTAAGAATGCAGACAGCACAACCTTCAGCGGCTTTTTTTTTTTTTAAGTACATGCAGCATATTTAGAACTCAGCTGTGCCACATCAGACTTACTGTTGGGAAGTGGATCATGAACAGAATCCAAAAATAACAGCCATTAAAGACCTAGCAACCAAAACATGTTTACGTATCCATTGAAAGCCCAGTGGTTTTGATTATATAGTGAAGAGCATAATCCACTAGTCTATTTTAGGTGAATTTTCCTTTCACCTTCTCTTAATATTAAGGCACAGGATGATTTCTGACTTTAGGAATGTATAGGGTAAAGTCTGGGCAATGAACAGATATTGAAATAATGCAAGATTCCTATAGTTTTGTTTGTTTTTTAAGAAACAGTATCCTGAATTATAATTGTTTTCATTCCTACTTCCTTTACCTGGTAGAAACCACTGCTTTTTGAGACTTCTATGGTAGCAGGTTCTCAACCATGTCTTGCAAAAATTATCATGGTCCTTATTACCCATCCTGGGACTTACATAGCCTTTTTATTATTCTACCATTTCTGGAAGAAAGAACTTGAATCAATGACAAATGGATTATAAATAGCTTGAAAGGCTCAAGGTGGCTCCAGAATGAAACCATTCTCAAGGGATATTAAGGAAGTTGGATGACAGGCCAAGGGTAGTTCACTTTACCAAATTTATCTTCTCTGCCAGATTTTCACTATTTCATATCACATAAAGCAATCACAGTAAATCTTGTAGTGATCCCAATCTAGAGCTATTTGTTACCAGATAGTGGGAGAAACTTGGAAGAGACTAAATATTACTAAAGAACTATAATCTTACCTGACTATAAAGATTTGACATGCAAAGGAGGTAAAGGGATGAATCACTACCTTCAAAGCCTTAAGTTGTACTTTTGTATCCTTTTTCTATGAAACAAGTACCTTGAATCCAAAAGAAGAAGTTAGCAATGTTCCACACTCACCTTCCTACTGAGGGGAAAAAAGCTTTTAGAACCTAAGCCAGAGGTTATAATGAATCCTAATAATCAAAATACCAACGAGTAATTCAGAAACAGGAGAGAGATGTGGGGGAAGAAAATGGCTTCTGGTAAATGGAACCCAACCTTACCAAAAGGAACCAAAGTCAAAAGTCCCTACTATTTTCCTACCTCCAGTCCAAAACAGAGGAAAACAGAAACAAATTTCATAAATCTGTGACATTTCACAAATTTCAGTGTATACTACTTTCTTCTGATGAGACAGCTTGAAGAGATGTTTATATCTTTCTTCCTTGGAGAGCTTAAGAGATGCTTTTCTTGTGTATTCCTTATTTTTATCATCTATTTCTACTTCTTTGCAAAGTCCTTGTCGGTGGTTTTAAGCATATAACATATAAGGGGAGTTCAAGAGTTGAGTAGCTTAAATAATAAGTGAAGAAAAATAATGGTAAGTATGAGAAAAATACATCTTTTCACCAAAAATGCATATTTTTCAAGTAAAAGTGTAAAAGCAAGAAGTAATATTGGTTGTAAGCATCAGAGTAAATAGTATTATCTGATTCACATGTAAAAATTTGGAGAGATCATTTTTTTAAAAATTTATTTATTTTGAGACAGTGTCTTGCCCTGTTGCCCAAGCTGGAGTACAGTGGCATGATCATGGCTCACTGCAGCCTCAAACACCTGGAGTCATGTGATCCTCCTGCATCAGCCTCCCAAGTAGCTGGGACTACAGGAATGTGCCAACATACCTGGTTAATTTTTAATTTTTTTTTTTTTTTTGCAGAGATAGGGTCTTGCTATGTTGTCCAGGCTGCTCTCAAACTCCTGAGCTCAAGCAATTGCCCTGCCTTGGACACTGAAAGTGCTGGAATTACAGGCATGAGCTACCACACTGGGCTAGGAGAGATCATTTTTAGAAATGTATTTTAATGGCCGGGCACAGTGGCTCATGCCTGTAATCCTAGCACTTTGGGAGGCCAAGGCGGGTGGATCACAAGGTCAGGAGTTCGAGACCAGCCTGGCCAAAATGTTGAAATCCCGTCTCTACTAAAAATAAAAATTTGCTGGGCGCGGTGGCACGTGCCTGTAATCCCAGCTATTCAGGAGGCTGAGGCAGGAGAATCGCTTGAACCTGGGAGGTAGAGGTTGCAGTGAGCCCAGATCACGCCATTGCACTCCAGCCTGGGTGACAGAGTGAGACTCTGTCTCAAAAAAAAAAAAAAAAAAAAAAGAAATGTATTTTAATAAAGCTGTCTGAAAAGTGAAACAAATGTATTCTATTTTCCCAACTGGCGTTTACTGAAAATATTTATATATATATATATATCCATACATATATGGATATATATATATATATATACACTTTTTTAAATGGGAAAACATGCAGTTAATAATAAAGTTGAAAACTTTGACATGAAAGGAAATCTGCTGAGGCAGGGAGGCCTGTTAGCCTTTCCCAAGGTATTGCTGCAAAAGCTCACTGCTAGAGCCATTGGGGAAAAAAATAAAAATAAAAAAATAAAAAAGAAAGGAAATCCATCCTAGGATGCCAAATACTGCAGAATACAATGGCTTTATTGGTCTTTTTTGAAAATTTTAGCATTTACTGGAATTTGGAATCTTCCTTCTGTTCATGCCTTGTCACCATCCCCATTTTATCTACCTCTCAAATTCATAGGAATCTCTGAAATTTAGCTCTTCTTTTTGTCCAGATATTTACAATGTTTAATATAACTAGTCTGCAATCTCATATACCACCAGTGTCAGTGGACAGTCACATGACATATTCCTAAGTGAACAGAAACTCAACCCTTTAAGTTCTATCAAATGAATTAATGAAGGCAAATAAAACTTCCTTTTTATTCCTTTCTTCATCCTTTGTGGAACATGGCAATAGGGGAAGGTCTAGGAAGAACAGTTAAGAGATGCAAAATGAAAAAAAAGGCAATTTCAACAAAATTACTTTATTAAAAAGGCCTATGATGAAAAATGACATACAATATACACATATGAATATAATTATGTGACAGCTGACACACAGAACAATGCATTTATGTCATTACACAGAGAAATGTTTATATAATGCTGTGAGATCTCAAGTTTTATATTGGGTTTGTCTTTCCTAGATAGATATCTGCCATCGCTGCTAACAATGATTTTTTGGATCAACAGTCAAAAGAAACTTTTTTTTCTTTATTTACAAAATTCAAATTGGGGTTCATAATGAATGTGTACATTATCAGCTAGCTCTCCAAATATGTTAAGCAGACTTTTATATCCATGCAGGCTGAAGAGAAAACACTTTTTTTTAAATTTTTTAGACAGAGTTTTACTCTTGTGCAGTGGCACAATCTTGGCTCACCACAACCTCCACCTCCTGGGTTCAAGTGACTCTCCTGCCTCAGCCTTCTGGGTAGTTGGGATTGTAGGCATGTGTCACCACGCCTGACTAATTTTGTATTTTTAGTAGGGATGGGGTTTTGGCCAGGCTGGTCTCGAACTCCCGACTCCAGGTAATCTGCCTGTCTCAGCCTCCCAAAGTGCTGGGATTACAGGCGTGATCCACTGCACCTTGTCTGAAGAGAAAACATTTCTAAACTTGCTTTGTATTTAGATGGATAGCTTTAGAAAGGAGGAGAGAGCAACATGTATTCTTCCACACTGTGTGGTAGGAAACAAACACCAGTAGAATAACAATATGGAAGACAGCAAGGCAGATTTCATTACAGTAGAGTGCCTACACTTCCTCATAACTTGGATTTACACACTGCAAATCCTCTGATCTGATTACCTCCAGTGATCACGTAAAATACCGGCTTTAAACTCTTTGCCTTAGTGATAAAACAGCCACTTTGATTCACAACAAGACATTCACAATAAAGTATATTATAAACGTACCTGTCCACAGCCTGGGGCATTGCACACAAACGGTCTGTCGTCTCCCATATTTCATATAGCAGAGCGGAGCTGAGGAGGGGGAGGTGGGGGAAAAAGTTATGTTAAATATGCTGGAGCAAAAAAAAAAAAGTGCTTCAAAAATATGAACCCTAGAAACAGGTGTTCCACGAATGCCATCTATCAAAGTTGTAAACACAGGCTACTTTGGGGAGACCTATTAGACAGGTGGCATATGATCTACTGTGCCTCAATTGAAACTTTTAATTAGAAAGATTGAGATCTAAATAGTCGAGGAATTTCAAACCTTTGCTAGATTTTCCCTTTCTACTACAGTATATAACACACTTCTCCAATCTGCTGAATTACAACTAGTGCAGTTCCCTATGTCAATAAATTCACTGAACGCTCGATGCGGAAGCCATATTTCTGAACTAGAGAAGACCAAAATTTGTCATTTAATTAATTAAGGGATTATAGGAGGGGTGCTCCATTTTACAGGGCCATAATCTGGCTCCCTGGTGTATAAACTACGAGACTGTTGGCAAGGGCTGTTTATCCCATATTATTGCCAAAGAAAACAAAGCACCCATCCTATTGGGCTACACGGGAAACGGTTTTCATTAATAAAAAAATAAAAATAAAAACCAGCAGCCTCCTCCTCCCCCCACCAATCGTCTGTGGCAAATGGAGAAATATCGATGCCCTTCCCCCCTCTGATTCTATTTATGGCTAGGTTTTTAAAAGCAGCAATAAAACAAATGTCGGCTCTTTGGGGGTTTGCTGGGTGAATATGTTCCGGCTGTTTGTGCTGCTCTCGGCCAGTGTTCTTGGGCTGCTCTGCTGCAGCCAACAGATGTGTGCTGCTGCAGGGGATAAAAGAAATGGCACTAAAAGGCATCACCATCCATCCCTTCTATTTCTCTGAAGACTTTAACAGGGTTTATACTGTTTTTTAAATTATTGAAGCTAAACTCTCAAAGTGTTTATTGAAATTCTTTGTTGAAGAACAATAATTCCAATCTGAATGTGTCGGAGAAATTTCTTATATCCCAACTAGGAATAAAAATAGAAGTGGCGATGGATAAAGATTAGAAATGCAAATCATAGTAAAAACAATTCCTAAAAGATAAACAGTATTTTGCAAGGGTGGAAGAGAAAAATGGAGTGGGGGATAAAAATAGTCTTATAAACTCCTAAACGACATTTTCAAACATCCTTCCATAAAAGAGAAAGGTATACAAAAGAATATGAACGAGGGAAGATGAGAGAGGAACTACAATTTGAATATGCCTGGAAATGACTTCAGAACTGCAACCAAATTTCAAATTTTTATCTTGGAAATAAATTGAAATGTCAGGACAATCTGTCAGGCTCAGGTTGAAATAAAATGTTAACATGCTAGACTGAATCTGGTAATCGGAAAACCATGCTTAAAACTCAGAGGGTAGCTAGGTAACATCTCTCCTACTCTCTTAGGATGCACTCTGGGGTGAGAAACCAGTATTTCTGGTTGTCTAATCAGTAATTCCACAACTAATTGGTGTTTAAAATTGTGGGGTTCCCCATAAAATTGAAGGGGCTTCTTGGTCATCTTTCAGTGTGATAGAAACATGGTCTAACTAGGAAGGAAACTGATGCTACAGCACTGCTGTAATGGAACAGAGCCTGTACGTACATACATGTACACAGATTTATATCACATTTAGCCAGGATAAATTGCTTCAATAAATTCTGTTCCTAGGAGAGGCCAGCTCAAGCTGATGATTGGGTACGGGGAAATGAGAGCTTCATTCTTCTTCACACAGCCCCAGGATGAGGGGATTTTCTGGTTTGTTTGTTTTAAATACATGACGATTTTTTAGCACTTTCTGGAACTAAAGCATGGTACAAAAAATAAATGAAAGTAAACAAAAGTAAATAAATGCAAAGACCAGGACCATTATGGCTGAAAACTTAGAGCATCTCTGGAAAGCAATTTATCTCTGGAAAAATTCCTAACTCCTGTGCTAGAGATAATTTCATTACATGTCCCAGAATCTGCTTTCCTAACATAATCACAAAATGAAAATTTTGTTTCAAAAAGGTCTTATATATTTTCAACCAGGAAGTAAACTACAATGGCTAGAGGAGACATAACACAAGAATCAGGCAGGATTCCTTACTTTTATCTTGGTTCTATTATTTGATGCTAAATTTTCTCATTTTTCTACCTATTTAGAGGAGAGAAAGAGTTCTGGCTGAGAAGTGGGACAGTATTGGCATAGGAAGTGGTGAAATAAATTCTGGAATGGTTTTCCTCAAACCACAAAATTCAAAATGTAACTTGGCTTTGCATAATTACATCACAATATATGGCTTCCAAATTTTACTTAGTGGCACACTTACTAGGAAATAGATGAAAAATCATGACTTTCTGAAAGAAATAAAAAAAGCAAAACCAAAACAATTTTGGGGGAAAAAAGCATTAAAACCTAACAGAAGTATTTTCATTGCTCTTAAATATTCAACTGACAGCCACTAACTAGGATTTCCTGCTTCCTCCTAAATTTGCTGGCCTTTGTTTTACCATTTTCACCAAAGGGAGATCACAATGAGAGGAAGAAGGCTCTCTTCTTAAACACCCACAATTATTCTTAAATCATTCCTCAGTCTCTTGCCTCTCGTCATTTCAATTATTCTTGTTTAAAAATTGTTTCACACTGAAGTGATTTTTAAAATTTAAATATTTAACAAAAATAAGAATGATCTGTCTCCCCATTTTAAAAAAATCCAGCTAACATCTTTTTTTTTTTTTTTTTAAATTTCTCCTTCACTCCTAGTCTGCTACATCAATTGCCACATATAAAGAATGCCATTTTGCTTATTTCTATCTGACGCTTAAAACAAATTTCTAATTATCAGTGAGGTCTCACTGATGCTGTCTCAAAAACAAAAAGCAACACATTTCCGTAGTGTAAACAGACTAAGACATAAAGTGAAATCTTGAAAACCAAAGCTGCCACTCACTAGAATTTAACCCACAGCTCATTTGTAACTATACTGCTTGACAAATAGATCATATGTCTGGGCAAGACACTCACAATGTGTCATCTCCTTCCCAACCTATTCTTCAGGATGAAACATAAGCATTTTACAGAACTAAACAATAAATGACAGAAGAGGGATACACCCATTAAAAAGCACTGCCAAGGGGAAGTGGAAAGCTTTCAGCAAAGACCTTAGAACAGGAAGACAAAGATGCATAAAAAGGCTGTCCTAGAGGCCAACATGTGCAGAAAAGGCTCATATACTCAGTCACCAGAATTTTAAAAATGATTTTTAAAAATCAGTATTTACTCAAAAGAGAAAGTAATCTAAATGCTGGGAGAGAACTGAAGAAAATCCAAAGTTTAGAGGATGACTTTTAATAACTGAGATAATTTCATAAAATCTGGTAGTTTTGTTAGAGACAGAGGTAGATCCTAAAATGGTCATTGTGCAAGAAAACAGATTCTCTCTTTATGTGTAGGTACATGTCTATCTACATCTGTACCTTTTACTAGACTAAGCATGCAGTCTATCACTGAGGACTACAAAGTAAATTCTCTAAACCTGGTGTGACATTACCATTATAATATAATAAGAAAAAATAATGCAGATACAGTGGGATGTGATCATTTCTCTAGCACCCAACTGATGTTAGTAAGATGGCCCAACTCTAAGCAAGGAATAAAAGCCACATACAAACACATCCAGGGGCCTGTTGTCAGGTTCCTAATGACAAACAACAGATACTGCTAGGTACAAAAAAAAATAGAAGGATAATGCACTGTAATTATCAAAGAGTTATAAAAACCTGGAAGACGTTAAGACTATCATTCATTCATTCAGAACCCACTAATAAGGAACTATCAAGTGCTAGGCAAAGTGTATACAAAAATAAAAAGGCAATAGGCCTTCACACAAAAATAATTTTTTACTCATCTGTCATAAAAGAAACCAACATCATCAAGAATGATGACTTAATTTACAAGTTCAATTAGTCAGAGGTTGATCAGTATACATAACATTTAGAGTCTACTGTATACAGTCATTTATCAAATTATTTTGTTAGTAACTCCAGATTATAAAAAGGAGGAGTTGGCCGGGTGCGGTGGCTCACACCTGCAATCCCAGCACTTTGGGAGGCTGAGGCAGGTGGATCACTTGAGGTCAGGAATTCGAGACCACCCTGGCTAACATGGTGAAACCCTGTACCTACTAAAAATACAACATTAGCCAGGTGTGGTGTGCACCCAGCTACTCTAAGCAGGAGAATTGCTTAGAACCTGGGAGGTGGCAGTTGCAGTGAGCTGAGATTACGCCACTGCACTCCAGACTGGGCAACAGAGAGAGACTGTCTCCAAAAAAAAAAAGGGAGGAATTAACAGTCTTGGTAAAAGATTTACCAAGGAAGAAGTTTGAAATTAATAATCATAATTTGCTTTTTGGATTATACACATTTAGTTAATTTTAAAATTCATTAATTCCCCAAATATTTTACTCAGTATCTGTGTACAGCCCCATATGCCCTAGGCCCAAGTAATTGAAGAGTAAAGGAGACGGACAAGATTTCTGTCCTCATAGAGTTTACTTACATCCTAAAAGGAAGAAACAAACAATAAGCAAGTAAGCAAAATAATTTCAGATTAACAGCAGATAACTGCTATTAAAGGAAAATGAAAGGCTGATGATGTGTTGGTGACGGTGAGTGCTATTTTAGTTTCTTGACTAAAAAGGGAATGGCTGTATTATCTGCAATCAAAAGGGGAATGAGGTAGAATATACAGATCTAGGTTAAAACTGCAGGAAGCCTTTCTTCTCACAACATAGTAGATATTCGATAAATATTTATTGATTTAATATTTAATAAATATTTAAAGTCTATATTCGAGTTTGCACTTAACCTCAGGTTTCTGCAGAAAGCTGCTGGATCCACAAAATATTCGCTATGCAAGTATTTACGTATTTAAAGCTACACATATTTTAAATCCATAGTTATGACTATGTTGTGTCTAAGGCACTTTATATGACCACAGCCAACTAAGTCT